CTTTTCCGTGCTCTCCATTTAAATAATTCACCATGCAGTGACAATCCCTGCACCCCGGACCACCTGCGTGGAACTCCAGAGCCCAGAAACTTCCGTCTCCTTCCATCTGTCTGCTTCTGCTCCATCACCGCTGCCGCCGCAAAGGATGCTCCTTTAACACGGCTCTACTCAGCCGGAGAAGAATTGTCATTTCATCGCACAATCCTTTCCCCCCTTTCCAGCCATGTTTCGTTACACATGGGGCCTTGTCCTCGGCGAGCACTGCTTGAGTTTTTGTTTTTGCCTCATAGATATAAGTTGCTGGGGAACATATTTCAGATACAGCGGTCAACTGAGTTGAGGTCCTCAGCTGCGAGTTCTTGTCCCGCTGGGGACACACGGCACCGCATCTAGCTTCGGCGTCCAGGAATCAGAGCGTCCTCGGTCATCGAGCTGTGCGGGAGCACTCACGGCAGAGGCATCATCTGTGCTGACAGCTGTGGCATCAGGCTTGAAACTCTGGCATCTGCTGACACTCTATGCTCCCTCCTCCAGCCCTCCATGCGCATCTCCATTAGGAGACCCCGCACACCCCACTGGGGCTCCTCAGGAAGTGTTCTCACAGTAATGGTGGAAACAAAAGAAATACCTGAAGAGGGAGGTGACAGCTGCTTTACACAGCAGGTGCAGTGACGCTGATATGTCGGTGGATAAATAAGACGTGCTGCTGCAGAGAACATCGTCACCCCGTGTGCTCCCTGGGGGGTATCAGGATGTTTTGATTGAAATGTCCTATTGTCTGAATATCCCTTCATGTGCAGCACAGGCCTGCTTCGTGTCTGTTGATTGGTTGTAACATGATCTGAATCTGGATTTGGACCCTACCGACCGTGCCTGGGCCAACCCCATCGAGCAGCCCAGGGCACCAATGCTCAATCGCTCTGTTCAAATTCACTCAAACCTGTTGTAGGTGCAGGTCACCTGGTGTGAGTGCACATATGTCACCCATCTCTGCTTTACGTCTCCATTGGTCAGGTTTGTCCAGGAGTCTTTTAACTTTTTCTTGGTGTTTCTGATTAACTGTAAAATTGGTAAATATTTTATATTCCATTAATGTAACGCAGATATCTCTAAAAGCCTTTTTGACTGTCTCAGTAAATCTGTCCAACGATGGGTAAACGGATCCCTTTCCTACATGACTTTGGGGATCTTTTTGCCACGTTTTCTAGACTAGAATAGCGGCGAACCCTGTTTCCTGTCTCTTAATAAGATCCATCCACGAGAGGGAATGTACGTGGAGCTGAAAGTACCAATCAGAAGTGCTCTCAGTTGGTATTATCTCCCAATTGGATTGTTGGTTATAAGAAGGATAAATTTTTAGAGTACTAGCGGTTGTCTCGTCTGGACCACATTCTCTCATCTGCTGTCCAGGCTTCGTGAGGCGATCCCTCCCATCAACCGAGCTTCCTCCCGTCCTTCAGAACTTCTGCCACACAAACACATACAGACTGATGATTCCTGGATGCCGGGCGACAGGCCCCACATATGCTCTGCTGTAAATTATTCACCCTCCTCAATCTTCACATCTTTAAAGGAAGTTTGAAAGCCATTAGCGTCACCATCGTCAGCCGCTCCAGCTGCATCGCATCACCAAAGCTTAGCGTCACAGAAGGCCTACCTTCTGATGAATTATAGCGAGCCTGGGGACAAACTTTTTCCAATGTGGAGCCAGAGGTCTGCGGCGGGAAGGAGCCTTCGGCCGTTCAACCGGTGTCCCTGGGAAGCGGTGTCTGTTTTTGAGCGATCCCTCGGCCCTGTGACAGTCTGCCCTTTCAGCTCCCATTTATTCAAACATAACTACAGACCCACCAGCAGCTGCAGCTCTCTCCTCAGTGTCACTCATTGGCTTTTACTGTGGAAAAGTTAAATGACAGCCTGCTCTATTTTCAATTATTCAGTTACCGGGTTGCCTCTTTTAAACCTTTTAACCCCCCCTCTCCATAATCAAATTGCTAGTATTGCATTTAAACATTTTTAAAATGAACTTTACAACCGACTAACGAAAAAGCCATAGATTCATATTCTGCGAGCAGCAGAGTGACTAATCATTAGAGCAACACTTTAATAGATTTGGCCGCGCAATTACTATATTCTTTTGGTCGTCTTCATGGAAATAAAAGTGTGTAAAAGAGAAGAGGATCTATGACTTATGCCTCTGTGTCAGAGCAGATTCTGCCTACTCAACAGTAACTTGGTAAATTAGCAGTCAGTGTCTCCGAGAGGGAGGAGAAAAAAAGGCCTCGCTCACTATGGTTGGGTTGCGGTGCGTTAAAGATGTCCGGCGTTGTCGACCGAGGGAGAAGTGGGTTCGTCAGTGTAACTCGCTTGGGAGCTTTCCCCCCCTACGCACTGCGGGGTCCACACCTCCAGCTTGATTAACAACCTGCCCACCATTATCACGGATTGATGGTGTCAGCTAAATTAGCCTCTCCCCTCACCCATTCAGCGCGACCGCTTAGTTAACATGCAGGGACCTAGAACATCTTCGCCGAGCTACAGAGGCGTGCAGCGTTTCCAGCGATGTTTCCTGATGGAAGCAAACTGATTCTCATTCGAAATCTTCAGTTTTCAACTCTTAAAGTTACCATTCATTCATTTGTGTAGGTTTAAAGACATGTAGCACATTACTAACAGTTTAAAGGAACCTGAAACAGGTCAAGTAAAGCCTTCCTAGCAGCACCAGAGCGTTTCTTAGTTCCCCGTTAATGATTTCTGAAAACTTCTCCCACATTTTTTCCTCGAATTGCAAAGTTAATCTGTCAGTCTAACATAATCGATCAGTTCCAGTGAAAATATTGTAAAAACACCATGACTAAGAGTTATTGAGCAAGTGTGCATTATATGCTATGGCCCTCACAGTGACCAGATCTCATCCCATTTGGGTACATTTGTTTATATGCAACCTTGGCAGGCCTGGCTTCTTTTCATTTTTCTTTAATGTTGTCTTTTTTTAATGTTGTCTGGTAGTGCAGCAGTGTTACAGTAACATTCTTTGCAAATTCCGATGTCACCTAAAACAGCGGTCCCCAACTTCTTTTTGCGCCAGGGACCGACAATATTTTCACGGACCGGCCTTTAAGGTGTCGCAGATAAATTCAACAAAATAAAACCAGAAAAAGAAGATTTATTCATAACACATGGGAAAAGAAGCAGGGAAACAGAGTTAATGATAAAAACGATAAAATAATAACGATTAAAAACCCTGAAAACCATCAATTTCACACCCGACTCTCAACTCGATACCAAACGACTCAGCCCGTTGGTTGGGGACCGCTGACCTAAAACTAAAAGAGCATTACATTTACTTATTATTTTGTTCATCCTGCTACGTTGTAATCCTTCACTGACTGTCACTATAAAAGTGTCAGTGTATCTGCAGCACACATAACCGAATAGAATAAATGAGTAGAATATTTTGCCCTCTGTAGCATTGCCTAAAATGCACCAGCTGCTTCAATATGAAAGACCTGCATCAAATATCCAATAAAGATTTTATTTAAATATAACTTTATTAAGTAAAAGATAATTTGAAAACACAAGTTGATCATCAACAAGTTGGATGAGGTGTCAGAGCGGATCCCTGCATTGTATTTTAAATATTTAGCACAGTAAATAAGGTGAGGTGCAAAAAAGTCAGTTTCGAATATTTAGACGGCGTAGTAAAGGACACATGGTCTGGTCGCTCATCTGTTCAGAACCACAGGAGAATTGGTGGCCCAAGGCACTGCCTGAGGCAAAATCCACAGCAAAGAGAGCCCTCTTGTTATTATTCCACTGCACCATTTTTAATGCAGGCCTCCCCTGTACACCACCGCGCACTCACAGCTGGCCCCTCGCACACAACACCGCGCCGCGTACTTCTTTCTCTCGCCTCTTTTCTTTTCGTGTCGGAGGGAATATTTCAGGCGTTTCATTCGTTCCATATCCTGAATTCTCATTAAACCTGCGGTAATTGGATCGGGCATAATAGACATATGGAAATTGCGGTGCCGTTCATCATTAGGGTTTTAATTGCGCCCGTTTTGGCTTTGCATTTTTCTCTCTAAATAAGTCTTCGGAGTTCAGGAGCCTTGTTACTGCCAGTCAAGTTACTTCACCCACACACGATGATTATGTGATAATGACAGGATTTCCTCCCACTGAGGACATTTATTTAATTCTGATTGTTGTCTTTATTGAGCATTGTGCTAACATGACTCCAGGACTTGTTAGCGTTTGTGAGAACAGGATTTGCGAGAGCAACAGTAGAATTATAGAGCTCTTCTGTTTTTAAAGTCTTGATGCAGAGCAAAGTGTTATCAGGGAGAACAAAACTGTTTTTAATAACACTCAATACATATTGTTAGATTGATTAAACACACACACACGTAGCACGGTAGAAGAGAGACAGGTAAAAATAATAACGTTGCTTGGCAACAACTCGTTACTTAAAAAGCAATTAAAGCTTCTCAAACAGTGCTGCTACCTCTAAGACGGCGGTGTCAAACATGAGGCTCGGGGGCGAGATTTGATGATCCCGTTTGGCCCGCCGGATGGCTTCGCCGTGTGATAAAATTACACTGAAGTCATTAATTACACGTTTTTGTTAAAAACAAACCACGTTGCTGTTTACGGTGTGGTAATGCATGACCAGCATAACTACACATGAGTAGAAATGTGTGCAAATCTGAGCAGGATCTCTGATTCATATTAGATACAAAAGCTTTACATGTGATGGTTTTATGTCTTTTCACATCCTTCAGTTAAATTGTAACTACTCCTGAGATACATTCTGTGTTTTTCTGAAGAGATCAGGCTGTTTGTAATGGGATGGCTCATTACATTTGAAAATGAAATAGAAAAAGCTTCTAGAATTATTTTTGGCATTTAGGCTTCAGAGAGGGAAGAGGAGAGAGAGGACAGGAAACCAGGGGAAGAGTGGGGTGACGTGCAGAAAAAGATCTGGAGAGCAGACTCAAAGTTGGGCTCCTGCAGCAGCCTTCAGCCAGCAGGGCGGCAGCTCTGAGCAGACTTCTTTATACTTATTTAAAAATGAGAAATTTAGAGGCGTTTCATATAGGCTGTGATGCTGTAGTGTTATGGCTTCGTCAAAGTGGGACCAA